GACCCAGCCGCATGGGACTGAGGTACGCTGACACGCTGTGAGGCCAATACACATGTATGCACAGTTCTTTGCTTGACAATGTGTATTGTGAATTCGCGCCAATTTATGCAGATATGAGCTTTGACATAACAAAACATGCGATGTCGATATTTACACCAAGTTTCTATACAGAACCGTTGAACGTACGAGCGCAAACGTAAATGTATTTCTATAGTCCGTTTCTGCTTGCGTTGTCCATCAGCTGTATAAACACTGTATCTCATTGACCCTGATAACTGATTTCTGTAGTCCATAGACGAAAACTATAGACAAAGCTCACGTACTAGTTTGTTATATAAATAAACCTATACCACTGGTCTATCGACAATAATGTAGAGTATAGCGCAAAGAGGACACAGTATTGCTGGCGATTGAAGTGCAGTGAACGGGACTTATTTGTCATTTGACTGCTGCTTCTTTCAGTGTCTTTACTTTAAAAAATGTTTGAAGAGTTCATAAAGCACCTTTGTCACCCTCACAAATGACATTTTCAAAACATGTGAAATAAGAGTTTGATGTATGTAGGATTTGTGAATTGTGACTGCATTTCAATATCGAATTGCACATGTAAATACTTAAGATTGCCTAGTCTGCCAGTTATTGAATGATCTGGTTAGGAGCAATATGTTGAAAGATGTTGTTGTACATCAATTATGTATCATTTCTCTCTCCGTTGTTTTAATTCCTAAGTCACTACAATTGGTCGTGGTAACAGACATCCCCACTCAATATACATATTCAAAATCTGGCCGAAATCGGACAGGTAGTACATCAATTATGTATCATTTCTCTCTCCGTTGTTTTAATTCCTAAGTCACTACAATTGGTCGTGGTAACAGACATCCCCACTCAATATACATATTCAAAATCTGGCCGAAATCGGACAGGTAGTTTCGGAGTTACGGGTATTTAGAGTTCAGCTATTTGGCAAGTTTATGGACCTGGACCAAAGAGTCCCATTTTCAAAAGGATGTACCGTATTCGACGTAATAAGCGCCCAGGGCGCTCTCAAAATTAGATATAGGGGGCTCTTATTAGAATATTATTTTGGTGAAAAAAAGAGAGTTAAAGGATAAATTTCGTGGTTTATGCTGACAGCCTGAAATGTTTATATACGACAGATGCATTTTTCCAGAATTTAATTGCCCATAATTAAGGGTGCATGTAAGACACGAGTGCGTATTATACGCGAATAAATAAGTTTTGTGTACATTGATAAATCGGAAGGGGTGCTAATTGGGATTGTTCACTAGCCAATATGGTAGCAAATATCGCCGCGGGCGCTTATTAGAGCGGGGCGCTTATTACGTCGAATACGGTAGCTCCGTTGTCCGTTGAGCTACAGTCAAACCGTTTGGTATTTTGGAATCGCCAGGTCAAGGACTATCAGGTCAATATATGACGTACGTATATTTTCTTTGAAGTTGTTAGTATGGTACTTGGAGCCAAAGTATGGAGAGTTTGGAAGCTTTTGAGCTGGTAGTTTGAGCTGAGGAGATTTTGGGAGTCAAGTACTGAGAAATCTGGTAAAAAACAGTGCAAAAACACTTAATCCGATCTGGAGGCCAAACGAAGCAATTTCGCTACATTGAATGTGTAGAGAATTTGTTGGCCATCTGATTCCGCACCAGCTCAAGAATTTTGGAAGTCTTTGGAGCTTTCGTGGCGGAGATTTTAGCTGTTGAAATTGCGATTTTTAAAGTTGTTTTGAGTTATCTGCCCTTAGTCTTTGAGTCTAGAGTCTTGGGATTTTTGTGGTATATGCTTCAGGACCTAAGCTATCTTTGTGGAAATTTTGAAGAGATTCTGAGCAGTAGTTTTGGAGTTAGGATTGGAACAAAAATCGGCAGAATAATAATAATAATAATAATAATAATAATAAATAAATCGAACAATTACAATAGGGCTCTTGCCTTGTAGGCAGGGAGCCCTAATAATAATAATAATAAAGAATAATAATAATAAATCGAACGCTTACAATAGGTCTCTTGCCTTTCAGGCATAGAGCCCTAATAATAATAATAAATCGAACGATTACAATAGGTCTCTTGCCTTTCAGGCATAGAGCCCTAATAAATAATAATAAATCAAACAATTACAATAGGGCTCTTGCCTAGTAGGCAGGGAGCCCTAATAATAAAGAATAATAATAAATCGAACAATTACAATAGGGCTCTTGCCTTGTAGGCAGGGAGCCCTTATAAATCGAACAATTACAATAGGGCTCTTGCCTTTTAGGCAGGGAGCCCTAATAATAATAATAAATCGAACGGTTACAATAGGGCTCTACAGCCTTTCCGCTTGGAGCCCTAATAATAAAATAATCAGCTTTTAGAGCGCATAACTCCATGCACAATATATGCTCGTAGCTCTGCATTATTTATACCCGTCAATTTTCGCGGAAGGCCCATTCACAGCTGAGTGAGCAGAGGCATATTGCTGCCAAATATGGTCACCCATCCAAGGAGTTGCTTAACTTTTCTGGATTTATGACAGGTACACTGTGTACAGGACCATGTGTCACCATATCAATACTTTCTTTCTGAATATTGGCACAAATGTTTGTGACCTCCTCCATGGTCTAGCGGTAGAGCGTCCGCCTGGAGAACGGAAGGTCCCCGACCGCGTCGTACCAAAAGACGTTAAAAGATGGTACTTGTTGTTACTATAATCAAGCTTTTGTCCCGTGTTTGGGAACTTGATTATACCTTAATAAGAAGAAAAGGAATGATTAAAGCCAAGCAGTTTACTGTCAGTGGTATTGCGTCTTATAATACAGAATAAAAGAGATAGAATAGCAGTACATGGTACATAGAATGATAATAGTATGAATACATAAAACATATAGAATAATGATTGAACGATCGAATATGCAACGGTTATAATACTTGAGGGGGAGAGCTGGAAAGGTAGGGGATATAGCTGTAGGTAGAGCTAAGCACACTTTCATGTCTAGAGAGAGCATTAAATCATGACACCAACATTATGACCTGTGACTGCATTTGTATGTAACGTCACTATAAATACGCTTGGCTTATTACGTCTGAAGTGAGACGCGCTATTTACTAAATGTAGAAATACATATACGCGATGAACGATAATAACAATAGCCTCAAACCAAGTATAATAAAACATGTAGATGTAGGATATGAACAATATTGATAATCATAATAGTATCATTTGCATGGAGTTGACTTATCATGATGTTAGATTTGATTTCTAAGTTCATCAATGCTTTGTCATCGTGTTTATTAAAATATGATAGAGTAACAGTTTCTGTAAGAGCCGAACATTAGATATACAGACTAACTGTCTGTGTCTTTATCGTTCAACATAACGCCAGATTAACATTACTTTCATGACACTTATTTGATATATATCATATTTTGATACGGTGTATATTTGGATATTGATCATGGATAATCATATTCAATTAATAGGGAATTATTGCTCATCAACGGACACATGTGGTGCGAAACACATTTCATAAAACATACAAAGTATGATAAACCTATTTTCATAATACATACAAGTTCTGAAAACAAATATCTAAAACACACACGTTATTGTGTATGATCTTTCATACGTACATAGGTAATAATGAACACTTCATTATTTAAACACACAAGGGACCCGTGCACATGCACAGCCCAAATATGTCTCTACCATCTTACATTAGATTGTTAAAGTTAACCACCTAAAAAATCGTGGACTATCTGGAATATATCACACACATATATATAATATAGGACTAAATGTATCAAATAATAAAATGTTTCTTACCTTAATAAGAAGAGGAATGATTACGGTCAAGCAGTTTACTGTCAGTGGTATTGTGTATTGACCAGTGGAGATGCTTGACCTTTATAGTAATCGCCTCGTATATTTTGACTTTGAGTGATTCCCTAGTCAGTGAATTGTGCATTGTCTTAATCTAAATCTAAATCTAAACGAGGTAATGATGCTGTATTATTACATAATAATAACTTCTACACCGACTATGCGACTGTGGCCTCTGGAAATAGAATTCACTGAGCACGATGGGTTTGATGGATACGTCCATCTTACATCACTGTAGCCTGCTATGTAGCGGTCAGTGTTCAGTTTGACACGTGAACGTCTACAAGATATAATTGCTTGTAGATATACTGTAGGTAATGAAACCTTTATGTATATTTTAATTCCATTTATATTTAGTTAATAATTATGTCAGAAACCGCTAATATTTACATAACATATTGGAACAATATTGCGTGTATTTTACATTGGTATATTACCCTGTCTGGTGCTCGGCATTAAGGGGCTTAAACAAGGAGTGGTCAGCTCGGAGTCAGTATACTTTGTCTGAGTGGGGTATTCATGTTAAACCAGGCCATGGTATCTCAGTGACGCGACGTTAAACCCAATTTCACCTCACAAATGTTTGCATAATAATACTAATTATCCAGTTGATCTACAGTAAGTATGTGATAGGATTGTTGTAAACATAGTTTTATTTGTATTTTTATTGTATTTTGTTATGTTAGTCACAGGTTCCACGTTTTACCTGTATGTACTGCTGTGGCTGCCAATAGTGCCATGGTAGTCATGATGAACAGTTAATTTTGGTCCATTGAATAGCCAGTTATGCATTGGGGAACTTTACGACCATGCTTTGAGGATGTCTGTTTAGTAGAGATTTCTGTATTTCTGTTTTATCTTTCTTTTCCCTCATGTGTTGCCACTGTTGCAGTCAGTGTGGCTATTGCCGGGGACAGCTACGGAGTGTCAACCAATGGAGAATGAGAATTCAAATCTCAAGATGGAGATAATCCATTAGTATTCTGTCATTTATGGTGTTTTTACTGGACTTTGACGCTTAACTTTGACCCTCGTATTGTTTGGGGTAATATATATTTGATATGGGTAATGAATGATGAGGGTGATTCGTTTCTGGAAGAATTTTCTTCATCATGTTTCAGGTTGAGTCTGCAGGATGAAATAGAGCAGTTGTTACAAGACATCACCTTTCTTCAGCACCAGATAGATGATGAAGTTTCCATTCGAATGACTGGGAGACCAACAATTGCAAAAGAGCCCACTCTCACGGGTATAGATGTTTGTACTTTTACTTTGGCAAATTAAGTTTTGCAAATTAAGCATTTTACTCATTTCATGAGATTGTTCCAGATGTATGGATTGTTTCCCATATGTAATATTTATGAGGCTCCTATTGCATGAAAATAGAACAGGCAACACTGAATACTATTCTTATGACTATCATCACCTCACTGCCTAAGGGACTGATCATTTATTGTAGGAGGTTGGGGGGCAGCTGAAATAAGACTTTATTATCGGACTGTATCATATTTGGACGACAATGGCCCACCTGTGTGTTAGGTTGGGAGAATTTATGTTTTAAGTTTTATCATCCTCTGTCCCTACCCACGTCATTGGTAGATATTGCAAGAGATATGCCAAGGACTAAATAAGACACTACCGTAACTAGGTGTTAAAAATATCACATTTTTTAATTGTTAAAAAAAAACCAAAACTGTGGAAGGGAAGAATGTTATGAAATACATTAATTTCTGATAATCTTCATCTGATTAATGACTGGCCGGTATGATCAAGACTACAAAGTGCACTGTACAGTAAATATGTTATGCAATTGTCAAATATATAACAGACTGCTCTAGACTATTATATACAAGCATACAGAAATGATAAATCTCTCTTAGCTTGATCACAGCAGATATCCTCTTGTCTTCGCATGAAAAATGGTCATTCAAAAGTGAGGTGAGGTGAAATTGGGTTCAACGTCGCGTCCAAGATTATTGTACTTATATAGCGACGTGCATGCATGTGTGTGTGTTTGTGTGGCTGCTTGTACTAGTTCGAACTGATGCCGATTTATAGTGCTAGCTCACTGAGATACCATGCCTCAGTTTAACATGAATACCCCACTTAGACATAGTATACTGACTCCGGGCCAACCAGTCCTTGTTTTAGCCCCTTAATGCCGAGCGCCAGACAGGGTAACAACAAGTACCACCATTTAACATTATAGAATACTAAACGAGCTCCCGTGTAATACCACAACTATTCACGAGTTTAATAAAATTGGTTTTACAGGGGAGTGAGTTTAGTATTTTATTTATGACTTGCCATTTATAACGTTTTTAGAATTATACTGTTGAGTGTGAATAGGCAGACACCTTCACGATCCACGGCATAATCCAATTGAGTATAACATAATAATACTTCAAACACGTCAACAGTTGAAACATATGAATTTAATATCTACAATTCAGGCGTTCATTCCACAAAATAATCGTAGCGCTAAGGTTATCGCCACTCACATACTTTAACTTAGACCAACGACTGTTGTTGTGCTACAATATGATCGCCTTGTGGAATGGGGCCTTGCACCTCAAAGTTTACAATCACGTCACAATACCCGATGATGTAATTTGTGGAATTTTGTTGCAAGATTCATGCCATGTGACGGTCATCGAATGTGCATAAGCTCCTCTCAGTGATCTATCATCTCCACACGCAATGTCGTTGAATAAGCCAGGTGATATTGAAAGCTTTCAATATTTGTTCGTGAAACATGTTTCGAGAGTACATAAGCACGCGTTTTGGTATGACACAATGGGCCTACCTTTAGAATACAGTACCACAAACTTTTCAAACACGTGACAATACCCTATGACATAGTATTATTTTTGTAGTATTTTGTTGCCAGTCACACCAACGAAACAATGCCCTGTGATGTCAGGGGTCATCGAGTGTGCATAAGCTCCTCCCAGTGATCTATCATCTCTACACGAAATGTCATTGAATACGCCAAGCACTGTGGAGAGTTTTGAATATTTGTTTACTGAAAATAGCCTGTGGCGGCGTCTTTTATAGCAAGCGCTAGTTTACGAAAGCACTTTTATTTTTTATATATTTTTTATTTCGTTTTTCTCGTAATTCAAGTGGCTAAAAGGGTTATAAATGGGAACTAATATACATATATTATTTTTTCGGTGCATTAATTTTCATTATTATGCACAAGAATGTAGTTTATTAGGGATATTATATTGTCGCTGAACACATCCAAATATCGCTAGTGCCCTTGGATCCCCTTTATGATCAATTACCCCTTTTCAATCATTAGGGTTAGGAACCCGTTTCGTGGCTATTAGATTACCCAATTTCTGTCCTTAGCCCTTGGATCCCCTTTACGATCAATCACCCCTTTCATTAGGGTTCGGTAAATCTACCCGTTTAGTTTCTATTATAGATTCTGACCGCCTCCGTGGTCTTGTGGTAGAGCGTCCGCCCGGAGAGCGGAAGGTCCAGGGTTCGATCCCTGGCCGCGTCATACAAAAAGACGTTAAAAGATTGTACTTGTTGTTACCCTGTCTGGCGCTCGGCATTAAGGGGCTAAAACAAGGACTGGTCGGCTCGGAGTCAGTATACTGTGTCTGAGTGGGGTATTCATGTTAAACTGCGGCATGGTATCTCAGTGAGCTAGCACTATAAATCGGCATCAGTCCGGACTAGTACAAGCAGCCACACACACACATACACGTGCATGCACGTCGCTATATAAGTGCAATAATCTTGGACGCGACGTTAAACCCAATTTCACCTCACCTATTATAGATTCTAATATTCTTCACACAAAAACATCGAGTAAAAAGAATGAAATGGTTTTGTGTCGAATACTTTTGCTACTAGAAACTGTCCTGGAACATTCACACAAGCCACTTTCACCGGCTACATTTTTTCAGTACTGATTCAAAAGCGAACTCACCGTTGTGTCGTCAGTAGCCATGCACATGCCTCCCTCATTCCTAACTATTATCCACATCATCCTTACAGTGTTCCCTACCACACTTTTCTGTCACAAAATCCACCCGACGAATTATTAAATAACACGTCATTCATGCGTACTCGCGAGTTCGGAGTCTGACGTCTTGTAGATTACGGGATGGGACGAGTGTGCCAAATGGCATCGGGATCATTCGTAAGTGTCAATAGACTAAAGTCACAAGACACCATGCCTACCCGTAACCTTCTTAAGGGTCCGTCACCTATTCGACCCTTTTCGTTCAGTTCCATAACGTCGTAGGCATGACTAGGTAAATTTGCACTTTGTTTCACAGTGTAGACGTAGCTCAGTCGGTTAGCTGTCAGGCTAACAATCCGAAGGTCGCTTGTTCGCGTCCGACGGATTCTCACAAAAACTGGTTGCTTGTCTCTGAGACGTGTGACCTACGGCAGAGACCGTCCTCAGGAGAAGTTGTGGTAATGTATTCTAAAGGTGCACAATGTGTAATACAGCCGTATGTTTATTAAACGGGTGATCTCTTCACTGGCAAGTAATAACTTTTGGTATGACGCGGCCAGGGATCGAACCCCGGACCTTCCGCTCTCCGGACGGATGCTCTACCACTAGACCACGGAGGCAGTTGGTCATTCATGGAACACACAATAGAATGTAACATAAGTGTCAATCAGTGTCTATTTCACTTGCACAAGACAAGAGTCTTAAGTGTCTACAAACAGGGTAGCAAGCACATGCCCAAAAAGCTGATGGAACAAAGTAACTAATACACAGTGTAGTGTTCCTTTACTTGTACTCGCAGGTCCTGGAATGCACAGATCTCTGACATGTTCATCCATTGAATGCTGGTGTCCATCGTTGTCACTTGTCACCAGGTGCATCACTGTCACAACTGGAACATCTTGGTTGCCAATGACGCCAATGTTGGTTGGTTGGTTTGTTGGCTTGTAGTTTAACACCGCACTCAGCAATATTCCAGCTATATGAAGGCGGTCTGTAAATATTCGAGTCTGGACCCGACAATCCAGTGATTAATATCATGAGCATCGACACCAATGTAATCAGAGTGGTAACACAAACGCAGGCTGTTTTTCGGATGTCAGCTGTTTAATACTTATGAAAAATGAACGAGGGCCCTGTGGAAATAAATACACATACATACATCTTCATCTTCAACCTGTACACAATACTCACAGTGCTGTCTCTGTTTGTTGTACATTTTAGTTGTTAGTGTATTTAGTTGGGGAGGCACATCGACACGATGCAAGAAAAGGAGAGTGCATGTGTTTATATACATATATATAAAAAACACTGTAACATAATTAAATTTTCGTTGTGTTCATTGAAATTCCTGCATTCTGATTAGCTGAATTGGTCACGTGTTATTGCATTGATTTCCCAATGAATGTGAAAAATTAAGCCACGCCCACCGAGGCGCACTATTTTGATTACTGCGGAATGTCGGGGAATCCCAATATTACATGAGTGGGAATTCCCTTTCTGCTCACGTATATTGTTATGCACAGGACATTTAGTGACTTTCATGCATATTCATTGTCCAAACTACCCTTTGAAGCCGAAGGCAGAGAATGAATGTAACAGCAAACGTGCAGGCTCGCTTGCCTGTTTTTTTCCCGCTCGCCTCGGTCCAACTTTCATGTCTTTGGTTTCCATTTGTAACTAGCATTTTTCCAACTGTTTTACTGTAATCAGGGAAGAATTGTTTGAATCTCGCGGTAACTGACCATGTTATTTGAAACAGCTAGCTGCCTTCTCCAGGACATATTTCTTCCAACTCTCCGTTGATTGGCTAATGACTGTGTAGGCGTGTCAAGTTATGTGCATAAATAAAACGATCACCTGATTCATATCATGCCACTGTATGTATTCCTACACCTGGAATGTTCATCAATCTCGTCATTTATGTCTGTTTTGATATATACAACTGTACTATTGTAGATAAAACATGTTTTACATTGTTGAATTTCGTAAGAATCCGCTACGTGGATTGATACAGTTTGCACATTGGTTTTTAGATTCATACTTCAATGAACCGAAATAAATACACAGTCAATCCTTAAATGTTACATCAATATGTTGACATTCTCAGGTGAAAACAATAACTTACACATGTAAAGTATTTAAGCAAGCCTAGTCTAACTACATTTACTTGAATAAGATAAATGATGCGATATATATTTACCACACCTAACATTCAAAATAATTTTAAAAGAAGTTAAGAAATCATACTTATGCACCTTAGAAAA